GCAGAAGCTAGAAGTGAGATCTTAGGCAGAAGTTCAGGGTATAAAGCACAGAAAAGGAGGGCCGGTGCCTGCGATGGTGTCAGCTGTCTGCCCCCTGAGGCCCCTCCAGAGGGCTACCTGGAGTAGGAGGCCAATCCGTGTACTTAGAGGGTCTTAAAGAGCCATCTGGGGCTGGGTTCTGGGGGTCTCAGAGGCTGTGGCTTTCTTTCCAATACTAGGGACTGCTGGCTGTGCCCTAGGTGACCTCCTCAGAGGCTTCCAGGGAGACAGTGTGGAGATGGGCCTTGGGTGAGGGGGACCTACCTGATAGCCTATCCTGCTGCCTGAGGGTGCAGCTCTCCCTGTGGTTCGCCCAGAGGAGACCCCACGGCAACTCCGGTCTGGCCTCAGCCTCTCCGGGCCAAGCAGGTCGGAGACCTGAAGCGACAGGTCTGCCTGCTGCCTGATATCCCAATGTCCGAGGCCCATGCCAGCCTCCACGCCTTTGGCCTCATGGCCCCCTCTGCTGGGAAGGCCCTCATCCTCCCCACAGCCCTGGCGGACCAATCCCTTCGCAGGTGCAGGAAAACTGACTGGGGCTCCAGGGCTAATTCAGCCACAGCGTGTTAGGGAGCCGTCCCTGCCTGGCCACGACCTGAGACTTTTTCTGTTTTTGTCCCCACCAGCTCTCAACACGGGGCTGGGTAACCGGCACGTGGCCAGTGTGCTCCTGTCAAGCGGGGGAGTGGGCAGCACCCACTTATGCTTGAAACCTAAGACGTGCGAAGGGCCCACGAGCAGCTCCTGTCGGGGAGGGAGGAGAGAGGGAGAGTGGCATCTTAGACCAGACCGAGAGTCCCACCAGCAACTCTGGGGACAACTGTCACCAAGTGTCACCAGGGGTCTGGGGCCAGCTTACCATTCTATAAGCATCATCTTATTTACTCTCTAATCCTCAAAGCAAGCACAAGGAAGGGCCGGGGTCTGAAGCCTGTTCTGCCTGAATTTGTCTGTGCTTTTATGCACAGAGCGGTCCTGCTTCCCATTTCTCATGGGGGAAGAGAATCCCCCGTGGGTGGGATTCCACCTCGAATCCCATAGCATTCCGTCCCCACACAGAGATACCACCACCCTGGAGCCCCCTGGGAGAAGGCCTGGCTTTGCTAAGAGAAAGTGCAGCCGGGAAACCTCAGGCAGGATGCCCCCCTGGGCGGACCAGAGAGAGGTCTTCCTCTTCCAGGGGGCCCTGGCCATCTGCTCAAAGCTCGGGGAAAGTGAGGCCCAGAAAGACAACGACACGCTCTGTGTGTGTGTGTGTCTTGTACCCCCGCCCCTGCATGGTGCACCCACAGGACTCTGGGTCAGTACTGATGCCCACCTGCACCTCGCTTCTGGCCATGCCCAACACTTCCCTGCACCCACCTCCTCATGACTGTCCTTCCATCCAGCACTCGGACCCCTTGTTTATCCAGCCCTCTAACCCCATCATATGCGCACATACCCCAGCCATGGGCTGGGGGAGCAGCGGGGCTGCCGTGACCATCATGGACCTAGTCAAGTCCCTCACTGCACAAAAAGAGAGACCGAGGGGACGCCTGGGTGGTTCCACTGGGTAAGCATCTGACTCTTGATTTCAGCTCAGGTCGTGATCTCACGGTTTGTGGGATGGAGTCCCGTGTAGGTTCCACGCTGACAGTGCAGAGCCTGCTTGGGATTCTCTCTCTCTCTCTGCCCCTCCCCACCCCACTCCCCAAAATAAATAAATAAATAAATAAATAAATAAATAAATAAACAAACATTTAAAAGAGATAGAGAGACTGAGGATTGTCACAAGTCTCATTTCTCAGTGGGGCAGTGTGTAGGCACACAGCCAGCATGGGAATGAACCCTGAACTGCTGTCCCCCCTCTTGGCCCTTAGATGTGGGGTTCCTGAGAGTTCTGTGCCCCTGCTGTACAGCTGTCTGCAGACATGCACTTGGCCCCTTCCACAGGGTCCTCATTAATCACCCTGCCAGGGCTGCTGCTTCTCTAAACTTCCTCCTGTGTGTTTACATCTTGGGTAATGAGGGGTGAGTGGAGGGGAGCTCATTCCAGGTGGTGGTCTGGCCAGCCTCTCCCCCCAGTTCTCTCCCTCCTTGTCTCACTCAGGCATGCGGTCAACAAACCCTCCCGAGGCCCCCGGTGGCCACAGAAGTCCAGCCCAGATCTGGTGCCTCCCGGCCTCCAGGCCTTGGGACACAAGTGAGGATTTGCAGCCTGTGTGACTGTGCTAAGACTGGGGCACCTGCAGGAACTGTGGGTTGTGGGGGAGGAGAGAAGGGACACTTCAGCCAGTGAGGATGGAGAAGATGTTTGCCAGGCAAGGGTGGGGCATTTGTGTGGCCATGGGCAAATGTGACCCTTAGCATTAGACAGACCTGGGTTGTGGGTTCTGACTCCACAGCTCACTTGCTGTGTGGGTTTTGGGCGTTACCTGACCTCATTGGGCCTCAGTTTCCTTGTTTGTCAAACAAAGCTTACTTCCAGGACTACTGACAAGACTGGGGACATGAGGGTTGTAAGAGCCTCGTGCCTCCCCCACCCAGAGAGAAAAGCAACGGCATAGGTGGGAGATGGGCTGGGCACGGCCGACTGAGGGGCAGCACACAGCTCAGTGAGGACAGGGCCCGCAGGAGAGGCAGCTGCAGGCCGGAGGGAGCCCATGCTCTGTGTCCAGGCTGGGCGGCAGAAAGCTCACTGGGCAGTGGCAGGCAGCACTGGAGAATCCCAGGCTGCTGGGGCAGTGCCCTTGGGCAGGGGCCCTGCTGCCGGGTCACGGGTGTAGCATGAGTTGGGAGAGGTGATGGATGGCACCAGCCAGATTTGGGGGCAAGAAAATGAGAGAATTCAGAATGGAATCACAGCTCCAAGGAGAATGGTTTTGTTAGAATGGCCACGAATGGGCTTTAGGTCCCCCCTTGGAGAGCTGTCCTCTGTTCCCTCTCAGAGAGCTGGAAACTTGGAAAGCCTAGGAGGATGGGGTGAGTCCCCTGGGAGTGACAGAAGCTCAGGGCCTGCTTGCCTAAGAAGCATCGAGGAGCTCAGGCAGGGTGCCCTTCCGGGGAAACTTCCTTCTCCAACCCAACAAGATGGAAGAGAGTTATCCAGCCACAATTTATTTACCTGTTAGGTGGGAGAAAGGGCTCCCTCTTGCCAAAGAAAAGCTATTTTCTTATCCTGAAACTGGGCTCTGTGTTTCAGAGCTACATGTTTTGAAAAGGAAACTGCTTGGAGTCGTTTGCCGAAATTTACCTTTCAGAAGTGGTTAGGGCTGGGGGGTCAGTCGCTGGAGCTGACAGCCAGCCTCCTGTCCCCTCCTGGGCTGGGCCCGCCACCGGCTGGGTCTCTCAGTCACCCCAGCAGGTTGTCGAGGGCCCGGAGTAACCCTCTGATTGGAGCTTTTTATGTGCTGCCAGCTCCGGCACCGGCCCTGCTCCTTCCTGGCAGCCTGTGAGTGCTCCCCAGCACGGAAGAAGTGGCCCTCTGACGTAACCCCATGCCCCTGCTCCTGGTTGGGAGGGGGCGCCCATGCTGGGCACACGAGCCAAACATGTCACGGCTAATCTAGCCATAGCACTGCCTCTGCCTTCGGTGGGACAGGCTGGCCAGGGCTCTGCAGAAGTACATTTCCCAGTACCCCAAGTCAGACACTTCGAAACCAACGGCCCAAGGTGCAGTGGCCTCCACTCTTACTTGCTGGAAGTCTTTTCAAAACAGTGCGCATCCAAAACTTTAAGACAGTGGACTGGACATGTCAACCTTTTGTCGATGACTCAGAGACCTGGCTGCAGGAGGACCGTGAAGTAGACAGTGCAGGAGGCAGCCCCCGATTGCTTATGTGACCTTGGACAAGCCCCCCGTCCCCAACCTGGCCTTGGTTCACCATCTGTAAACGCAGAACTGGGTCCACGTTCCCCAAAGCTGCTGCAAAGACTGCGGCGCACATTCAACCAAGTGCAGACTCAACGCTCAGCTTGCCAGCCCATGCCCTGCAGGTGCAGGTTTATGAGGTCTGCAGTGGGGCCTGGGCATTTGTTTGTTTATAAGTAACCCAGATGATTCTGGGCATTCTGGGGAAATCCCGGAGGATGATCTTGAGGGTTCAGGTGAGACTTGGAGTCTGCAAGGGCCCACTGCTGGGGTACGATGTCCAGGGCTGGGCTACCGCGGGGGGTAGGACTCTGACCTTCACTGATGGCCACTCCCTGGGACAGCCGGGGTGTTCTGGTGACACTGCTCATTACATATGGAGATTCCTACCCCAAAGCAGAATCTAGGGAGACTGCTCTATACTGAGTCTATAGGTGGAAATTGGGAGACAGTATCCTGGTTCCATCAGGAGCTTTGGAAACAGACAGGCTGAGAAGGTGGCACAGGGGTGGCAGGAGAACACAGGCAGGGGACAGATACCTATCTGCAGAGCAGGATGATTTCTGCACCTGCCCATATTCGACATCATTTATCACAGATTCCCCTTCCCCTCCTGAGAGACAGCCCACGGCAGTAAGGCTGTCCGTCGTCACCTGCCATCTCTTTCTGGCAGAGTGAGGCCCTCTGCAGCCTCCCTGCCAGGGTGTCGGCCACTAAGACCTTCCAGGCTCAGGGAGCTTATGACGTTTCGATGTATCTTCTCCCAGTTTCACCTTCTGGCCCATGGGACAAATGGAGCTAAGGGGAAAGCAGGCTTTTGTCTACCGCACCTGAAGGAAGTTTCTATCTCCTTGCCTTTAAAATGCAGACAAGCGTGCTTGTTCTCATTTTGAGAATACAAATGAAAAACCATATGTGAGCATGCTCTGTAAACCCTGACGGATGAACAGGAAGAGACTTTGTGAATCGGGGGGTGAGTCAAGTTATCCCAGAAGTTTCCACCCGAGCACCCACCTGGCTCACTTCCTCCGAGCAGGGTCCGGGATGAGGGGGTGCCCCGGGCTGACCCGGAGAGATGCGCAGCTCCTGACAGGCCTGCCCCTCCCCCCGCTCACCTGTCCTCGATGCGGACCCAGAGGTCATTGAACTGTCGCGGCCGCTGGTGTTTGTTCTGCCTCTTGTGCCACTTCTTCTGCCGCCCAAATTCCTCCAGCTGGCTGAGGCTGTCGGGGAGCAGGAGGTGTGGGGACAGGGCTGGGTCCTCCTCCTCAGGCGGGACGGTGGGGGTCGCCGAGGGTACCGCGGGGAGGGCGGCGGCTGGGGTCACCGGGGCCGGGCTTGCCGAGGTCCCCTCGGGTGGAGGTGCGGGGCTCCGGGCGGCAGGGCTGGAAAGGGGCAACAGCATGTGAGGTGCACGTGTGGGATTGTGTCAGTCACGTGCGACAGGGAGTGCAGCCCAGTGAGAAGGTTGTCACAGCAGGGGAAAGGCTGGGTGCCCCTGCTGGGCCCGGCGAGAGGAACCCAGGGAAACCACTGTCTCATGTCCAGAGATGGAGTTTTGACCCATTCTTTCTTTGATCGGCTCAATAAATGTCTCCTGGGCACCCACCCTGCACCAGGCACCTTTCTAGAAATTGGGCAGAAGCGGTCACCAAATCACGTCCCTGTTCTCTTCGAGCTCACACTGAAGTGAGAGCTGGAAAATAAGGATGTCAGATGGTGGGAGCCGCTGGGGAGGGCAGGAGAGGGAGCTTGAAGGTGGAGGCTGCTAGGCTGGTGGGGGGCGCTTCTGGTCAGTGCAGGGTGACACCTGAGCCCAGGCTAGTAGGAGGTGAGGGAGTGAGCTGTGGGCAGGCCCCGGGGGCCTATCTCGTCTTCTTCAGGGTCTTTCATTCCACAGGCTCTGGCTGAGGGGCTTGGGGCAAGTGACCTGACTTCACTGTGCCTCATCTCCATCTCTGCAGAATGGGGGCGCTACAGCCTGCGCTTCTGAGGGGCAGCATGAGGGTCTCCTAAGTTACTACAGGCAAAGCCTTGCAAACAGTGCCTGGCAAATAGTAAGCCGTGGAACTGTTTTAGTCGTTAACAGTATTAACTAAACATTTTAAAATATTAATGCGGTGGTTTGTATCATTCACACAACCAGCCATCTGTGCATTCAACAGCTATTCCCTGAGCATCTTTCTGGGGAGGCAGGACAGTGTTAAGCAGGTCAGAGCTCCAGCTAGAGGTGGACAGACGTGGGTTCACATGCCAGCTCTGCGGCTTACAGGCTGTGTGACCAAGGGCAGGTGACAAAGTCGTCTCAAGCGGCAGGCAGCTGTGAGGTGGGAGTAGTCACGACACTCGCTTCGTAAGGTCGTCATGAGGACGAATGAGATGAGGTCCTAACACAGTGCCTGGCACACAACAAGCCGTTCTTTGATATTGGCCTATAAGCACACGGACTTGGCTGTAGCAGGCACTAAAGCACTGATTAGGTGTGTGTGTGTGTGTGTGTGTGTGTGGAATTCACTTTCCATGCAGTGCTATATACACAGGTCTCTTAGCCTGGGAACAGCCTCTGCTCCTCTCCCTTTTATTCTTTCCTCTCTGGGGCCCAGGTGGACTCCCTCGGGAGGACCTCAGACCCTGGCAGAAGGCTGGACGTGGTATCGGGAGTAGAAGGGCGAGGCGGCACCCGAGGCGGCGAGAAGCCTGTTCTCTTCTACCCCCGCACACACAATGGGGTGAGGGGCTTCTCTCTCCATGAGAGGGGAAGGCCATCAGCTCAGCCTGTCCGTCCCCAGCCCCCACAGCAAGCCCAGATTCCCAGGGCCCAGGAGATGCTGCAGCTGCTGGGGAGATAATTCAAAACAGGCGGACAAAAAGATGGGTCCAGGAAGCACCTGTGGCCGATGATGGCTTTTATTGTTGGGGCCTCCCCAGCATCCCAGCTCCTCGCCCCACCCGCAGGATTTCGGCGTGCGCTGGAGCCTGGGGCTGAGAGCCCTCGGAGCAGGGCCGGGCGGGGAGGCGGGAGAGGCGGGGGACCTTCCTCTGATGCCTGGGCTCTGAGATGAATAGGAGTCGAGGCAGCAGCGCCGGCCCGTTTGCCCGCCCCGCCTGGCCTGGAAAGACACAATGAGCTTCAAGGTGAAGTCCTTGGGCCTGTGAAGGGGAGCATGAGGAGTGCCTTGTCCCCAAGGCTGCCTTGGATGCCTCACTCCTCCAACACACCCCTGCCCTGGCCCAGCGCAGACCGGATTTGTGCCGCACTTAAATGTTCATCAGTCTCGTCCGGTTGACTCAGATGATCAAAAGAGGAAGGAGTCCAACGTGAGGGAGTTTTTAAGTTCCTCTAGAAGGGTCATGGAGACAGGGGAGAGCAGAGAGTGCTGGCCCAGAGCTAGGAGGCTGGAGGCTCAAAGCTCTGGGGGGCCCCAAGCGTCGTCTGTGCAGAGCAAGGAGGAAAGCCTTCGTTGTTCCAAGCACACCCACCCCCTCCGGCGCCCAGGGAGGGGACAGGGAGTAGTTAGGAGCTGAGGGAGGCTCTAGAGCCCGGCTGCAGTGACAGAAGCCGGGTGTTCTGCAAGTGACGTCACCTCTCTGGGCCTCAAGTTCCTCAATTTTAAGATGGGGGTACTCCACGTTCTACCTCATAGAGCTCTTGTGAGGATTTAATGAGCTAAAAGTGCTTAGAGACCTGTGTATAAAGATTCACTGTGACCATTCAAGCTTCTTTCTGACTCGAGTTCTCGTAACGCCAGAGACTGGGGCTGAAATCGCTCTGTGGTCGCCCTTGGGGGGCCAGCGAAGAAGGTTCCTGTGTAACAGTTGGAGGGCAGGCTGCAGAGAAACACCCTCCTGCCCCGGAGCTGCCCAGAGTGTGCTGACACCCTGTCATGCCCGCCCTGGCACCGTGGACCACAAGTGGACCCAGCTGACCCCTGAGCACCTAGTCCCAGCCTAGGGTGGGGACAGGAACCCTTCTGAGGAAAAGGATGGCCACTAATGGCTATTTGAGTGGAGTAGGTGTGCCCTGGTGGGAAAGTCTGGGGTGGGAGGGCCCCCCAAGAGGTGTGGTCAGAAAAAGGTGAGGACCAGGTGTGGGCAGGGCTGGGCATCCCCAGTTCTCTAGGAGTCCCACAGAGTCCTTCCACCCCACCCACTCACCCGGCACTAAATGCTGAGCAGCTCAGAACCTACCCCTCCTCCTGTTCCCACTGCCCCACCCCTCAACCTCACCTCCCCCAGGTTGCCGAGATTGCACACCAGCTTCCTTCTCGGTCCCCCCACCTCCAGCCTGGCCCCTCCACTCTTGGCTGCCTGGTGAAGGCCAGTCCCTACAGGGCTTCTTCACAGCTTGCCCCTCAGGCCCGAGCAGAAAGGCTGGGTGCAGGCTGGCCACGCAGCACGGGGTCGGGCACAGTTCATGGATGGTGGCAGCAGGCCAGCCGGGCGCGTGCCCCCGATGCCTCAGCTACTTACCTGTGGATGGTCTGCCCTGCGGGCGTGTGCTCCACCTCCAGCCCCGCCTGCCGGAGGACGTCAATGACTGTGTTGTTTCCCAGAAAATGACCTGGAACACAAGGGACAGAGTGGGATCAGCCACCTGCCGAGTCGGCAGCAACCGGGACAGCCTCAGGCCAGTGGCCTACACCAAGGGCAGTGCAGTGTAGCTGGAAGTTGTGCTGGAGCCACCCTGCCTGGGTCCAAATCCTGGCTCTGCTGCCTACCAGTGGTACCTCCCCAGGCCCAGTTTCTGTGCCCCATTCCCAGCTGTAAAGTGGGAATGATGGTGATAGCGGCCTCCAGGGTTGTTGCGAGGCCCACGGGAAGAGTGGCTGGCACAGTAGCAAAGGTTCACAAGTGTTTCACGTTGCATCGTGCCATTAAGCTGACCCCAGCCCCAGGCTGTAACAACACCCACAGCACAGTCTTTCTGCAGAGGACCCACGCCCTGGCTGCGGTCACCGCAAGTTTTATACCAGCAAAATAAAGTGAATTAAGCCTGTGTCAGCCTACAGTGGTCGTGTAAGGCCCAGCTCTGAGAAAACCTCCTCCAGGAAGCCCTCAAGCCTTCAACAGGTCTGTGGCTCATCTTTGTGAGCTCCACCAGCAACTTGAGGTGCCCTTCCTTAGCACGGGGGTGGGTTCTGCATATTCATGACTGTCTCCTCACCAGGCTCCACTGTTCTCTCAGCGTCGGCTGGACCCAGGCTTTCGTGGATTCATTTGTTCACCTCTGATCCAACATTTAAAGACCACATATTTCAACCCAGGCCCTGGGGTGACCCCAGAAGACTCACAAGGTGTAAGATGCTGGGGAAGGAGAGAGCAGCAAATGGTTGCAATGGTTACAGGGTCCAGCGGACAGTGGCAGTGGCACAGAAGAGGTCCAAACAGAGAGCGGAACACCACAGAGGTGGCCCTGCTGTGTGTGTGTGTGTTGGGGGGCGGGAGAGACGGGGGTCTTCATCTCACACAACCCGCGAATCATTCATTCAACTAAAGTTTATGGTGCACTTGCTCTGTGACCAGCCTTGTGCTGATCGCTCAGAATGCAGAGACCCACAGCCCCAGATGAGCCCAGAAATGGCTCTACTGCAGCAGGACGTGGGCGTGAGGTCTAGGGACACAGTGAAGGCTCTCCTAGGCTCTGGTTAGGAAGAGTCCTCGGGAGGCCGAGTGAGTGGAGGCGGTAACTGCTGGGAGTCGGCACGCTGGCAAGCCCCTCCTCCTCCCCGGGCCTCAGTCTCCCCACTGTTCAATCCGGGCAGAGCGGCAGTGGCCCCTTGCGGCCTCCTAGCCCGTGTGCCTGCCCTGCAGCCCCACTCACGTGGGCAGCACACTCTCCTCCACTCCCCATTCGCCCCAGAACCTGGGGAGAGATCCCTGTACCATTACTCTAATCGCCTGTGACAGGTGGTGACAGGTGGGGAGCCAGAAGGTCAGCATGTTGACAGCCCCAGGGAGGTCTGAGGAGAACAGACAGTGGACAAGCTGTGCGGGAACGGAGAGGCTCTGGCATGGAGGAAGCGAGGCTGGGACCGCAGAGCGGGTGGACAGAGGGCAGAGCCTGCAGCGCTCTGCCGGACGGCACTGCACACCTCTGGGCCGCCTTCATGTCCCTCACTGGCCTGCCACTGTGCCTGGAATCCACCTTGGGATCACCGCAAAAGACTACCGGTCTGGGAGTGACAGACTCGGGTTCCAGTCCAGGACCCATCATGCTCACGCTGAGACCTCGGGCAAATCCATTACGCTCGAATGCTCCCAATGTCTCTGTGTACACGGGAGGGATCCGCCGGCACCCCCGCTCTCAGACTCTACGGAGAAGGCTTTTGTTTGACTTCGGAGACCCCTCCCTTCTTCCCTCTCTCCCTCCTGTTCTTTACCTGCTCAGTTCATTAATCTGACAAACGCTGAGCGAGTGCATATCTAGTGCTAGCCAGTGGTGAACAGACGGGGACCTGTTCCAGCCACTCCGTCTCGAGAATCAAGGTCTTTTGATCTGGGTTAAGTACTAGGCAGAGGGAAGCACAACCTCAAGTCAGGGAAGACTTCCTGGAGGAGGTACTGCTAGCGGAAGGGTGGGATAAGAATTAGCCAGGTGAGGGGCACCTGGGTGGCTCAATCGGTTGACTTTGGCTCAGGCTATGATCTCACGATCCGTGAGTTCGAGCCTCACGTCGGGCTCTGTGCTGACAGCTCGGAGCCTGGAGCTGCTTCAGATTCTGTCACTCCCTCTGTCTCTGCCCTGCCCCACTCACACTCTGTCTTTCCCTCTCTCTCAAAAATAAGTAAACATAAAAAAAAAGATAATTAGCCAGGTGAGGATGAGAATCGGGCACAAGCTGGGGGGCTGTTACAGCCAGGGGGAACAGCATGTGTGAGGCTAGGGGATAAGTGAGGCTCACTTGGGAAGCTGGCTATAGAAGTCACACAGACCACACAGGCATGAATAGCCCCTCCCAGGGCTCCGGCCTTGACCCAGTCCTGTCGAGGACAGAGACCCAAGCTCCTGTCACGTTTGTGAATCTCCTGAGCAAGTGGGCTTCCCTGCCCCCAGCTTCAGTCTTCCTGTGTGTCAAATCGGCATTCATCCGTTTGGTGGGGCTGTAAGGTCCTAATGAGGCAGGAGGAGCGAATGCCCTTTGGAAAAGCCCAGGGTGCACTCCGGAGTGACGAGCTAAGCCAGTCCCCGGTGGGGCCACAGAGTCATCTTCACCCGTGCCTGCCCCCAGAGTGTGACGGAGCTGGAAGGGGGCCTGGGCACGGTGGCCTTTGGCACACGGGTGGCAGGAACCCCTGCCAGCGGTTCTTGGAACTCACTGCTGGCAGCAGAGGCGATTCCTTCCCCACTTCCACGGAGACCCTTTACAGGCCAGGGCCTCCAGGCCCAGCAGCAGTCCGCCGGAGGATTTCAGGAGCCACCAGGGGAAGCACGACGGCGGCATGGGAGCAGCACTGAGTATTTACTGAGGCCGTGTGGCCACTCTGAAAGGAACGTTCCTGGAGTGGGCGGAGGGGGTGCTTGAAGGCCCCGAGCCTTACAGAACTGTGGCTGGATCCCCAGCACCGCCTGACAGCATTTCAGTGTCCAGTCAGCACCCTGTCCGTCCCCTCAAGCTCAGTGGTGCTAGCCCTTACTGTGCCACTTAAGACCTTGAGCAGAAGACTTCAGACACTTTGAGAAGTTGGAAGCAATCAGCCATGAGGTTTTTCAAATTCCATCTTTCCTTCTCCAAGCCACGCCCACCTTCACTTCCGTCCCTGCAGGGCAAGGAGACGGTGTCCGTCCCCCTCCTGGACGTGGCTCCCTGCACAGCGCCAGGACGCACCCTCCCCATGCAGCCTGCACCCCAGGACTGCGGGCACAAGCCATCGGTTCCCAAGCCGGGTCCCACCATGGTCCCCACCCCACCCTCTCTGGGCCTAGTTTCACAGGACCCCACGATGACACCGCACTATCCTGCTTCTCTCCGTAGCCTTACCACTGCCCTGTGCCCACTTTCTTGGTGGGTTCCTCTTTCTCCTGCCCAGTAAGTGTGGGGGCCCCATCGCCTTCTTCTCACGCACAATCTGTGGACAAATCACGCACCCATATGGTTGCAATTACCATACAACACAGACCACTCTGGAACTACTGCCCTAGCCCAGGCCCGTCTGACCGGCAGCCTGCATGTCTCCACCTGACATCCGCCAGAGCCTACAAAATCCAACTCACCCTCCCCTCCTGGGATGCGTCTCAGCTGAGCTCTGTTATCCAAGTTGGATGGGCTGTGTCCCGACTCTTCGTCTCCCTCCTCATCCAATCACTGGAGTGCCCCTGATCTTTCCTCCTAACCATGCTTGACCAGCCCAGGTCACCAGCAGCTTCTGCCCGGAACCACTGCAGACACAGTCTTCCTTGTTACCTCACTGCAGCTGGAACGATCTTCCCATACCCCAGAGCCGCCCCTGTCAGAATGTGCTCCCAGCAAGCCACTTGGGAGACTGTGAGTTTTTTGAGGGCAGGAGCCATGCCTGATTCATCCTCGACCCCAGCGCTAAGCCCAATTCTGGCACACAGTGGCGGCTTGGTGAATGTTTGCTGAATGAATGAATGACAAAACCTGTTACTCCACATCCTTGCCGTGATCTCATTCTATCCCCAGAAGACTTGAGCTCACAGATACCCTCCCCTTGTCGCCACCGCCCGGCCTCTTGGTGATGCTCCTGCAGATTCCACCAATCCCAGGAGCTTGGGCCTTGCACCAGCCTGAGCCAGGGCCCAGTGCCTGCTGTCCCCAGACGCTGGCAGACGGGGCTTAGGCTTGCCTCCAAGGTCACAAATCCTGAAAAAGTCACCACACCCATCCTGGAACCTGGAGGGAAGGTGTGGAAAGTTTCCAAAGGGGCCCCAAAGCACTGGGGCTTAGCCTGCGTGGCTTGCCCAGGCTCCTGGGGTCTCCTGGCCACTGCTCAGCAGCGACTTCCAGCACTGACAGCTGTTTTCTGGCCAGCTCTCTGCAGGAAGGCACGTTCCATTTCATCTGCAGAGGCTACATGGGTGAGGAGAGGAGGAAAGAGAGGGAGGACAGTGAGGGGGTAGGGCACACAGAGCCACAAAGACAGAGAATAGGGGAGAAGAGGCTACAGAGGCCGAGAGAGAAGAGAGACACCCTCAGGGAGAGACAGAGAGAGGAAAAGAGCACCAGGACACAAGGAAACAGAGGACAGACAGATGAGAGTGGGGAGAGAGGGGCTGGCAGATAGGCTGTAAGAGACACAGAGACCTCAGGAGGGAGAGAAAAAAGGAGAGACACTGAGACAGAAAGCAAGAGATAGAAGAAGACAAAAACAAGGGCAGAGATACAAAGAGACAGAGATAGAGGAGAGAAAGAAAGAGGAAAGAAGAGAAAAAGAACCTAGAAATGAAAACAAGGGGCATGCATGGTAGAGGAGAGACTGATCTGAGGATATCATGGAAGACTTCCTGGAGGAGGAATTCATGTAGCCAGGACTCCCAGGATGAGTGGGATTGAGGAGACATACGTGGAGTGGGGAGGGGGGCAGGCCAGGGCTAGAGGAGGT